AGCCTAAAAAGAACCAACCTCAGGAGCTGGGGCAGCGAAGAATGGGTAAACCGGAGGGAGCTTGCAGTGAGCTGAGATCCGCCACTGCCCCCCACTCCAGCGCTGAGGCAAACAAGCCGAGACGTCTCAAAAAAAAAAGAAAAATTTTTTTTTCTTGAGACAGGGCGTCCTGCTATGCTTTCCCAGGCCTGCGTCCGAACTCCTGTCAGCTCAATTGATCCTTTCTGCCTCAGGCCTTTCAAAGTGCGCTGGATTACAGGCCTGAGTGAACATGCTCAGCCCTTTGTAAATCTTTTACAATAAAATGGTAAAATAACTGAGCGTTTTCCTGAGCCTGGAGCTACGTTCTAGCAATGATCAAACAGAGGTGCAAGCCCGAGCTACAGCCCAATCAGCAGAAATAGCATGACAACTGCTACGTTGCAATCAGCACTTGAAATGGGGGAGATCTTGTGGGACTGAGTCCTTAACCTGTGTGTCACTACCTCCAGAAATTAGACAACAATTTCAGCTGGAAGCAGTGGCTCATGCCTGCAATCAGCAACTTTGGAGCCCAGTGTCCCGGGGGAGAATGCTTGAAGCAGAAATTCGGACCAGCCTAAGCAACATGACGAAACCACAGAGCCACATCTGCTTACTGAAATATATTTAAAATTAGCAGCGTGGTGTGCACGCGGTAATCCAGCTACGTTGGTGGCTGAGGCCACGAGAATCGCGCTGACCTGGAGGCAGAGTTGCGTGAGCGATGATGGCCACACTGCACTCGCTCGCAACGAGGAGACCCTGTCATTAAGAAAATATATGTTTTATGATATATATATTTTATAATTATATAGTTATATGATATTATATATGTTATATTATATATTGTTATACAATTATATATTTACATTATATATTTGGTATATCATAATGATATATTTATTATATTATATATTGATTTATATGGTTTATGAATATAATAATTATATAGTATTAATTAGTAATTAATATATTAATGGTACTATTTATATATATGTAGATATATGTTTATGTATATATTACATTAGCTATATCATATTCTCATATTATCTCATAGTATCATGGGTCGATAATTATAAAAATATATAAGGATAATAAAGAGATATATAATATGTAATTCTAGTATTTTATAGTTTGGATATATAAATTTAATATATATATATATAGAGGAGAGACAGTCAGAATTCAGTAGAATTACAGCACAGCCCACCTGGTTCCTGGCTTGAAGAATGTGGGTGTGGGAGCAGGCCGCTGGAGTCTTGGCCACTCCTGGGCTTCACTTCGACTTTAGTGTTTTGGGCTGGGTCACGGCAGTGACGCCAGCCGAGGACCGCCCCTGTGGAACGTGCCAGCGTGACCACACACGCACCCCTCTATGGTCCTGAGGTGAATCTCATGTCCCAGCATTGAGCCTCAGCCTCAGCAAGGGATGGAAGATGGAGACGGTCACAGACCATGAGTCCGTTTACTGAATTAAGCTGATCGTCAAGGAGGGAGCAATCCTCTTGCTGCCTGCTGGGATGCTAGCAACTTAGACGATGTAGTTTGGAGTTTGCAGAACATCAACTCTTGCAGCAGAGGCCTGCTGGAGAAATGGATGGAGAGAATAAGCTTAGGTTCGAGTGCCGTTGAGAGCTCGCGGTGAGCAGTGGAGCGCGAGCGGTGAGCGGTGGGAAGCGCAGTGAAGTCGTCCATCTTGCTTGAGCTTTCATCTGCACCAATGGAAGAGTGTGCCTGATTAAAGAGCTGACTGCTGGGTGCAGTGCTCAGGCTATAGTCCCATTGCACTTGGGAGCCAGGCCAGTGGAGTGCGCTGAGGCAGATGGTTTCAGTCAGTTTGGGCAACTATTGGCACAACCTGGTCTCTGCAAATGAAAATAAAAAGTTAACCAGCATGTGGTGTATGGCCTTGTCATCCCAGTTACTTGGGAGCTGATGGTGGGAGGATTGCTGAGCCCAGGAACACAGGCATGCCGCTGAGCTGGATTGTGCCACTGCACTTCCAGCGCATGGGTGACAAGAGTAAAACCTGGCGGTTGCGAGGTGGGGTCTGAGCCTGTATTCCAGCACTTTGGTGAGGGCGATGGCGGGTGGATCACGAGGGGTCAGGAGATCGAGGGACCGTTCCTGCTAAACGGTGAACCCGTCTCTACTAAAAATACAAAAACTAGCCGGCATGGTGCGGTGACTGTAGATCCAGCTACTCGGAGACTGAGGGCTGGAGGAGAATGCGTGAACGGAGGCGGAGCTTGCAGTGAGCCGAGGGATCGCAGCACTGCACTCAGGCCTGGGGTGACATTAGCGCGAGACTCGTCTCAAAAAAAAAAAAAAAAAAAAAGAAGAGTAGAAACCTGTCTCAAATAATAATAATAATAACACAACAACAAACAATAAGCAATGAAGCTGCAGAGCGGGCATGATGTTCATGCCTATCGAATCCTAGTACTTCTGGAGCAAGGCGGTCAGCAGGATCATCTGAGTTCAGGCAGTTCAAGACCAGCGGAGGGGGGGACCAAGACATGTGAAATCCCGTCGCTACTAAAAATACAAAATTAGCGGCTGGTGGTGCGAGTGAGCCTGCGTGCTTGCGCTAGCTACTCAGGGAGGCTGAGGCAGGGAGAATCACTTGACGATTCAGGAGGCGAGGTTCAGTGAGGCGAGGAGATCGTGCCACTGCACTCCAGCCGAATGACAGACAAGACGTCCATCTCAAAAATAAAATAAAAAACTAAAATAATAGATAATAAATAGCTGGGATTAGTGGAGACGATCGCCTGTTAAGGGTCTGGCTACTCAGGAGGCTGGGTAGGAGGATTGCTTGAGCCTGGAGGGTCCAAGTGCTGCAGGAGCTGTGATGGCACCACTGCACTCCAACCTGGGTGGAGCACAGTAAGGATCTGTTTCCTCAAAATAATAATAATTAACAGAGTGGGATCTGGTGTCACACACTTAATTCCCACGATACGTTATGGAGGATGGCTGAGTGAGAGAGGAGTTGCTGAGCCCATTAGAGGAGGCTGCAGTGAGCTTGTGTTCAGCCTACTGCACTCAGCCCTGGGACAGAAGCCCCAAGGACCCCATTCCAAAACAAAACTTGAACAATGACTCAATAGTGTCATTCGATTGGGTGCCCACCTCCACAGCAAAACTGGCTTGTGTGGGGTTCAGGGGCAGTGTGTTCAGTATATTCTGGGGTGACAACTTGCTACTTGCAATCAGCATCTGAAATGGGGGCAGTCTTGTGGGACTGAGTCCTTAACCTGTGGGTTGTGTCACTACCTCCAGATAGACAATGTCAGCTGGAAGCAGTGGCTCATGCCTGCAATCCAGCACTTTGGGAGGCCCAGGTGGGAGAATTGCTTGAAGCCAGAAATTCGAGACCAGCCTAAGCAACATGACGAAACCCCATCTCTACTAAATATATGAAAATTAGCCAGGCGTGGTGATGCACGGCCGGTAATCCCAGCTACTTGGGTGGCTGAGGCACGAGAATCGCCTGAACCCTGAGGCCGGAGGTTGCATGAGGGGATGCCACCACTGCCCCAGCCTTCCAGCAAACAGACGTGAGACCCTGTCATAAAATATACATGTTTTTGTATTATGGTATATATATATTATTTTTTTTTTTTTTTTTTTTTTTTTTTTGAGACGGAGTCTCGCCGTGTGCCCAGGCTGGAGTGCAGTGGCCGATCTCGAGCTCACTGCAAGCTCGCCTCCGGTTTACGCCATTCTTCTGCCTCAGCCTCCCGAGTAGCTGGACTACAGGCAGCCCGCACCCTCGCCCGCTAGTTTTTGTGTTTTTTTTTTAGTAGAGACGGGGTTTCACCGTTTTAGCCAGGATGGTCTCGATCTCCTGACCTCGTGATCCGCTCCGTCTCGCGCCTCCCAAAGTGCTGGGATTACGGCTGAGCCACGCGCGCCCGGCTGTATACTATATTTTTATATATTACATATATTTATATATTATATATTGTTATACATTATATATTGGTTATACATTATATATTACATATATATGGATTATATCTAGATATATTATATATATTATTATATTAGTATTTTATGATTTATGATATATATATACATATCTATAGTATTACACTATACATTAAATTATATAATTCGTACAAATTTATTATATAATATGTAATATGTATATGTATTATGTTGATATACTTACATTATACTCTCATATATGCTCGACTATGATCGTCATATATGCATTGTCCATAATATATAAAATATATAATATAATAAATATATAATATGTAATTCTATATTTATAGTTTATATATAAATTTATATATATATTATATAGAGAGAGACAATGTCAGAATTCAATAGAATTACAGCACACCCACCTGGTTCCTGCTGAAGAATTGTTGGGTGTGGGGGGCCCTGGAGCTCTTGGGCCACTCCCCTGGGGCTTCACTTTCGCACTTTAGTGTCTTTGGGCTGGGTCACGGCAGTGGACAGCCACCGAGGACCCTCCCCTGTGAACGTGCAGCGCTGACCACACAACCACCCCTCTTTGGTCCTGGAGGTGAATCTCCTGTCCCAGCATGAGCCCTCAGCCCTCAGCAAAGGTGATGGATGGGAGACGGTCACATGACCAAGAGTCCTTACCTGAATTAGCTGATGTCAGGAGGGAGGCATTCCTCTTGCTGCTGCTGGTGGGATTGCTAAACTTAGACGATGGTAGTTTGGAGTTTGCAGAACTCAACTTCTTTGCAGCATGAGGGCCTGCTGGAGAAATGGAGAGAGAAATAAGCAAGAGCTCTGCCATCATCCTTTGAGCTCCTGGATCCAGCTGAGCCTGAAGCTGTTGACTGGTTATTTAAGCCAGTGAGTCTCCCATGTGCTTGAGCTTTCCATCTGCACCAATGGGAAGTGTCCTGATTAAAAGAGCTGGACTGGCTGGGTGCAGTGGCTCATGCCTATAGTCCCAGCACTTTGGGAGGCCAAGGCAGGTGGATTGCTTGAGTCCAGGGGTTCCAGTCCAGTTTGGGCAACATGGCACAACCTGTCTCTGCAAAATGAAAATAAAAAATTACCCAGGCATGGTGGTGTATGCCTGTCATCCCAGTTACTTGGGAGGCTGAGGTGGGAGGATTGCTTGAGCCCAGGAACACAAGGCTGCAGTGAGCTGTGATTGTGCCACTGCACTCCAGCCTGGGTGACAAGAGTAAAACCCTGGCCGGGTGCGGTGGCTCAAGCCTGTAATCCCAGCACTTTGGGAGGCCGAGGCGGGTGGATCACGAGGTCAGGAGATCGAGACCGTCCTGGCTAACACGGTGAAACCCCGTCTCTACTAAAAATACAAAAAACTAGCCGGGCATGGTGGCGGGTGCCTGTAGTCCCAGCTACTCGGAGGCTGAGGCAGGAGAATGGCGTGAACCTGGGAGGCGGAGCTTGCAGTGAGCCGAGATCGCGCCACTGCACTCCAAAAAAAAAAAAAAAAAAAAAAAGAGTAAAACCCTGTCTCAAAATAATAATAATAATAACAACAACAACAACAATAACAATGAGCTGCAGCCGGGCATGATGGTTCATGCCTATAATCCTAGTACTCTGGGAGGCCAAGGCGGGCAGATCATCTGAGGTCAGCAGTTCAAGACCAGCCTGGCCAACATGGTGAAATCCCGTCTCTACTAAAAATACAAAAATTAGCCAGGCGTGGTGGCATGAGCCTGCGCTCCTACTACTCAGGAGGCTGAGGCAGGAGAATCACTTGAATTCAGGAGGCAGAGGTTGTAGTGAGCCGAGATCGTGCCACTGCACTCCAGCCTGGATGACAGAGCAAGACTCCATCTCAAAAAATAAAAATAAAAACTAAAATAATAATAATAATGAGCTGGATTAGTGGAGCATGCCTGTAGTCCTGGCTACTCAGGAGGCTGAGGTAGGAGGATTGCTTGAGCCTGGGAGGTCAAGGCTGCAGTGAGCTGTGATGGCACCACTGCACTCCAACCTGGGTGACACAGTAAGACTCTGTCTCAAAATAATAATAATAAAAGAGCTGGACTGGTGGCACACACCTGTAATCCCACCTACTTTGGGAGGCTGAAGTGAGAGGATTGCTTGAGCCCATGAGTTCGAGGCTGCAGTGAGCTATGGTCATGCTACTGCACTCCAGCCTGGGCAACAGAGCAAGACCCCATCTCCAAAAACAAAAACTGAACAATGACTCAATAAGTTGGTCATTCACTTGGTGCCCCACTCACCAGCAACTGGCTTTGTGTGGGGTTCAGGCAGGTGTCAGTATTCTGGTCTCCAATTCCCTCCCTCGGGGTCTGAGCCACACATGGGCTTGCAGGCAGGGAGGGCGGGCTCCCTAGATGCCCAGTGGGGGTCTCGCTCACCTGGGAAGGTCTGCGTGTTGTGGCGGAACTTTGCAAAAATCTTATTGCGAGCATCCAGGAGCTTCATGGCTCTCTGCACCTCCTTGTTCTTGGGGTTCCCACACACCTTCCTGTGTCTCTTGGGGAGGTAGAATCTGTGGTGAGCAGAGCAGGGTGCCCAGGTTAGGGTATAGGCTGAGAGCGAGGCTGTGTGTGCACCTCACCCTGCCAGCCCCCACGGCCCCACTCACATTGCAGCAGGCAGATTGCAGCTCCCGCTCACCTCCTGGATCCGATAAGTCCAGGCATGCCGGAGCACAGCCCACCCAATGGGGTAGTGGTAGGCCAGGCAGCAGTCCTCAAAGACACCTGCAACCACACAGCCACCCAGACACTCGCAGCCTTGCCTGTGAACTTGGCGGGGCCAGCCACAGACAAGGGCACCTGTCTGCATACCTGTCTGCTCATACCACAACCCTTCCAGGCCCACCAGAGGCTGAGGAACAGCCTTAGGAAAAGAAAGCCGCCTGGCTCACCCCTTACCCCTGGATATTGGGACAGCCAGAAGTTGGAGAGGACCCTTGGGTCCCGGCTGGGAAAGGTGTGGAACAAGCAAATGAACGGACCAAGGCCACCTCTACTCCTGCTCTGGGGAAAACGGTGACTCAGAGTGCAGGTGCACCCTGAGGAGGGGCCAACACCACCCCTCCCCAGCCAAGTTCTACCCTCCTAAAAATGAGCTGATAGGAGCCTCAGCATGGTGGCTTATGCCTATAAACCCAGCACACTGGGAGGCCGAGGTGGGCAGATCGCTTGAGGTCAGGAGTTCGAGACCAACCTGGAAAACATGGTGAAACTCCGTCTCTACTAAAAATACAGAAATTGGCCAGGCGCGGTGGCTCACGCCTGTAATCTTAGCACTTTGGGAGGCCAAGGCGGGTGGATCACCTGAGGTCAGGGGTTCGAGATGAGCCCAGCCAACATGGTGAAACCCCGTCTCTACTAAAAAATACAAAAAGGTGAGTCTTGGGCATGTTCCGTTGCGGTGTTTTTTTTTTTTTGTGCCGGTTTATTCGTCACGGGTTCTGTCTGGCTAGGCGTGTATGCATGATCAATCTCTGCTCACGCTGTTAACCGCTGTGGTCTGTGAGTTCAAGCGGATTCTCCTGCTCTGCCTCTCTGAGTAGCTGGGTTTACCGGTGCATCTGTCGCGTGCAGCATAAGTTATGTAATGTGTTTGTGTAGGTAGGAGATGGGTTTTCACTCGATGTGCAGTGATGTGTGGTGTGGTGATCTCGTTGATTCCCTGCGGTGATGTACCCTAGCGCTCGGCTCGCCTTGCCGTATCTCAAAGTGCTGGATGATGTCTTTTGTATTCTGTGATCTACCGGCATTGAGCATATTGTTGTGCTGTCGGCGTGATTGGGTGGGCTGAGTGTGCTGTTAATCGGCCAGGCGTACTCCAGTATGGCTTGATGGTCATAGGCGGAGAATGGCGCTTGGCAGGTTAGATGTGGGAGTTTGGGCAGTCTGTGAAGGGTCGAGGTGCTGTCGTGCCATTGCACTTCAGCCTGGGCGACAATAGCAAAACTCCATCTCAATAAACAAAACAAAACACCAACCAAACAAACAAACAAAAAAGTGTTAATACAAAGTATGGAGCTCTCAGTAAATGCCAGTTGTCTAGACAAGCAGAAATGAAACCCACAGATGAATTAGACCTAGTGTTGTCTTCAGGGAGCTCCAGGGAGATTGATCTCTACAGAGAGGAGGAAGCACAGGCACTGTGGGGGGTGCCCAGAGGAGGAGGTGATGCTGCCAGAAAGTTCTGGGGGGATGAGCAGGTGGAATGAATGAGCCGAGGATGAGCTGATGAGATGGTGTTGGAAGCTGGGGCACAATTCTCTGTCCAAATGGCCTTTGGAGTTCTCTGCAATCCCACCTCTGCCAGAACTAACCTCCAGAGGTCAAGTCTGAGTCCCTACAGAGCCCAGCCCAGCAGGAGCAGGGAGAGGGAGGACTCAAGCCCTTCAGGTATCTCCCAACCTCGGCCTCTGAGGGCAAGGGGCAGCGCGTTCCGTTGGAACCTCGGGCTACGGTGCCAGGCAGGTAGTTCCCAAGGCTGGGGGCCAGGATCAAAGGGCCGGGCTGGGCCCGGCTCTGATAGCAAAACAATCAGACCACAGCCCAACCCCCTTCCCGGGCAAAGGCTAAGGACTTGGACCCATCAGACCCAGCCGAGGGCCAGGTGGGGCAGGTGGGGGCAGACAGGACAGGAGGGTGGAGCCCTGGGTCTGCCACGCAGTCAGGGACCCTGCTTTGGCCAGCTGCTGAAACTCAGAGGATGTAGGATCCAATGTCAGGGCTCCCGTGGGGACACCCCAGGCTCAGGAACTGTCCTTTGGCAACTGAAATCCCCAAGTGCCTGCTCTGTGGTAGGGAGTGGGGGAAGAAGGAGCGTTCCCTATTAATAACAGGAACAGTTATTATTGCTGCCGCCAGACACGAGGCCTAGTCTTGTGCAGGCATGAGCTCACTGGACCCTCAAGTCAGAGCCATGCAGTGTGAATTTTAGATTCCCACTTTGCAGCTGAGGAAAGGGAGACTCCTAAAGTTTAGGAAGCCGGGCGCAGTGGCTCACGCCTGTAATTCTAGCACTTTGGGAGGCTCAGGCGGGTGGATCACCTGAGATCAGGAGATCGAGACTACTCTGGCCAACATAGTGAAACCCCATCTCTACTAAAAATACAAAAATTAGCCGGGCATGGTAGCATGTGCCTGTACTCCCAGCTACTTGGGAGACTGAGGCAGAAGAATTGCTTGAACCCAGGAGACAGAAGTTGCAGTGAGCCAAGATCGCACCACTGCTCTCCAGCCAGGGCGACAGAGTGAGACTCTGTCTCAAAAAACAAAACAAAAAAAAACAAAACAAAAAAAAACGGTTTAGGAGCAACTAACTCTCAGCTGGACTGCATGGAGGGACCAGGATGGGAATCCACTCCTGTCAGTCTCCAGGGCCCTGATTTCCAGCCCCACCCCTGGCTTGGCAGGATTAGGGTTCTACAATATATCGCTGGCAGTAACTGGCTTCGCTCACAGCTGGAAGCCACCATGTGCTCCCTCATGTCTTTAGGAGTCTTGCGAAGGACTCCATGGGGCTCTCGAAGAAGGAACTGGGAATACTCCATCTCCCCAACCCCATCCCAGGAGCTACCCAAACGCCAGGAGTTCCTGCATGTCAGGAGCAGGAGAATTCAGTGGAGATGAGGTTGGGGAGACCTCTGGAAGAGATAAGAGACAAAAGGGGTGGGGTGGGGGCACGGGGAGATGGGCACTTGGGGGTAGGCATTGCTGATCACAGTACCTTGGGTGTGGACAGTGGGGGCCCAGGCTCCCAGGAAGCCGGCCACCAGGCAAGCCAGGAGCCACAGGTTCATGCTGCAGGCGGGTCCTCCTCCCTGGGCACCTGGACAAATAACTGGGCCACCTGGGGTCCTGGAGAGAAGTGGAGAGGACTGAGGAAGAGGAAGGGAGTGGGTACTGGGAATACCCCCATCTTAAGCACCAGGCATATAGCAAGGGAAGGAGGTTGCATAAAATAGGAACAAGTTGTGCTGGAGGGACAAGCTGGTCATCTGAGTCATGTTCAAGGAAAAGACTCACCGATATCCACTGGGTCAAGGGAGCTGATGCCCGCCAGGCTGTATGCCAAGCTCTTCCATCTGCAGGACCAAGACGCTGAGCTTCACTCTTTATAGACAGAGCCCCACCCAGCCACCCCCTGCCTGCCCTCCTCCCTTCCTCCTCCTCCACACCTGCACTCTCAGCCTCTGGAATTCTCCCTCCTCTACAGCAAGCTCCGACCTCGACTCACAGGCCCCCTTGCCTCCCCACTCCCCATCCCAGGCTTGCCAGCCAGCACCCCTACTGTCTCCAGAAAGGGCCCTTTTTCCCCTGTTTCCCTCACCTGCACACACCTGGTGGACGCTGGCTGCCTGCAAACAAGGCTCAGACTGCCTTGAGCCCCCAAAGCAAGCCCTTACCTTCATGCTTCCCCCACCCTCAAGCTACCTGTTCCCTGGTGGGTCCCTGACTTTCCCTCTCCTTCCACACCAGAGTTAGGTAACTTAGCACGTCACAGAAATCCTCTGGTTGTGACCACAGGCACATCCATAGAAACAGAAAGTAAATTATCGGTGGCCATAGGATGGGGGAAGGGGAGAATGAAGGAGTGACTTCGAGAGGGTATGAGTTTCAGAACAAAAGTTCTGAAATTAGATGTGAGTGATGGTTACATAACTCTATGAATATAGTCAGCACGGCACAAGGGTGCACTTCCCACCGGTGAACAATCCCAACACGAAATGAACTTTCTAGGCCAGGCATGGTGGCTCAGGTCTGTAATCCCAACACTTTGGGAGGCCAAGGCCAGAGGATCGGTTGAGCCCAGGAGCTCAAGACCAGCCCCAGTAACAGAGAGAGACCTGCATCATTATAAAAAAATTTTAAAAAATTAACCCGACGTGGTAGTGCATACCTGTAGTCCCAGCTACTGGGTAGGCTGAGGTGGGAGGATTGCTTGAGCCCAGGAGGTTGAGGCTGCAGTGAGCTGTGATCATGCCACTGCACTCCAGCCTGGGCAAGAGAGCAAGACCCTGTCTCAAAAAATGAAAAAAACGGTGACCGGGCACAGTGGCTCACACCTGTAATCTCAGCAGTTTGGGAGGCCAAAGCAGGCGGATCCCCTGAGGTGAGGAGTTTGAGACCAGCCTGGCCAACATGGCAAAACCCCATCTCTACTAAAATTACAAAAATTACTCGAGCGTGGTGGCGGGCACCTGTAATTCCAGCTACTCAGGAGGCTGAGGCAGGAGAATTGCTTGAACCCGGGAGGCGGAGGTTGCAGTGAGCCGAGATTGCACCACTGCATTCCAGCCTGGGCAACAAGAGTGAAACTCTGTCTCAAAAAAAAAAAAAAAAAAAGAACCAAATTAAAATTGGAGGAATTTTTTTTTTTTTGGAGGAAAACCCGGGGGCCCGGGTAGCCATGCCCTCAGGAAGCAAAGCAAAATTCACTGAGAAGGCATGTCTTCTTTCCCTGGGTCAGCAAGACCCACCCAGGACACAGGGACTAGGGGAGACACGAGGTGAAGATTAGGGAGGGCGAAAGGAGCGCTGCAGAGGCCGCAGAGCTGATTGCTTCAAACTTTTTATCGCCTGCATCCATAGCTACATCTGACCTCTGTGGGTATTTATCACACCCTGAACTGCTTTCTCATTTCTCCCTTTCCACTGGGAGCCCAGAGGCGGCGGCCCCTAGCCTACTTCCGTGCCCCAAACCACATGGCCGGGTCAGTGGGGCTTAGAGCTGGGGCCGGGTCTGGTGGGTGTGGCTTCTAGCCGGGGACGTGACTAGATAGATAAATGACACCTAGACCCCAGGGGCAGGGCTGGGTGGGCGTGGTTTATGGCTATGGGCGGGGCTTGCTATATAGCTCAGAATGACGGGCAGGGCAGAGTGAGTGGGATTTAAAACAGTGGGCGGAGCCTGACATATAGCGCTTATGGCAAGGGGCCGGGATTTGTAGGAGGGGCTTAGACTGGGGCGGGGCCTGCAGGTCAGCCCCGCCCCACCAGAGCAGCTACGACGGGCCGGGGGCAGGTGCTCTCACCCGTCCCGTTGCTGCGGCCGGAGGCAGCCCCCGGGCCCGGGCACTGCTCCAGTTCCTCCGCCTCTTGCTCTGGGTGGGTGAGGCTGGACCAGGACGCGGCTCCGCGTGGCTGCGAGCGTGGGGAAGCGGCGTGGCGGGCCCGGCCCAGGCTCTCCGCTACGGCCCACTGCCCCCTACCTGACCAGCCCGCGGGCAGCGGCCAAGACGGTGTTACCCAGGCTTGGGGGAGGTCCCCTACGTGTGAGTCTCCCTCCCTGCCTCACCCCTCACCGTTTGTCCCGCCGGCAGCCTTCACGGGGAGAAGGGGTTCCCAGCAAGGGGGCCCTCCATGGGCCAGCATGCAAGGTGCACTGGGGTGGGCGCTCTGGGGACCTGGGACCCAGGGGTTGGAGCAAGAGACGGGATGATCCGGGAGTCGAGGCCCCGAGTTAAAACCCGGAGTTCTGAGGACCACAATTGCTGTGAATGAAGGCCAGACCTTCACATTCGGGGCAGGACTAGCCTCTTCCATTCCTGCAGCTGCTGGAGGGCATTAAGAGTAATCCGCTATCGGCTGGGAGTAGTGGCTCACACCTGTAATCCCAGCACTTTGGGAGGCCGAGGCAGCAGAATCACTTGAACCCGGGAGGTGGAAGTTGCTGTGAGCCGAGATCTTGCCATTGTACTCCAGCCTGGGCGACAAGAGCTAAACTCCATCTCATAAAAAAAATAAAAATAAAATCCATTATAAGCAGGGGTCCTCTTCTCCACCAGTGTGAAATCAGCACAGCTGGGGGAACAAGTGCCCCCCAACACCGACTTCTGTTCTGCATCTCTGATGATGGGAGCAGTTGAGGGTGGTCTCCATCCTGTAGCTCAGATAAATTCAGAGACTAATATCCCAGAGCCTGCAGGGTTGGGCGGGCAGGAGGTGTCTTTCTAGACAAGCCCAGTCGGTTGCAGTGGCCAGGTGGTGGGCAGGGGCGATGAGATGTACTGGGAAGCCTGCACCAGCCACCACCATCTCTGCCCCACCCAGTGGCAGGCACCTCTAGTGGGATGTAGGATGTTCCTGGGTGCTCACCATTGGCCCAACTGTACAGAGGAGGAGACTGAGAGTCAGAGAAGCCAAGTTATTTACTTTTTTTGTTGGCCAGGAAAATCTAATTTTTATTTCTTAAATACTGTGAAGAAAAGAACAGTCCCCCGGTGGGGAAGCGCCATAGAGCAGATGCCTGGGAGGTCATTGACAAAGGCACAGGGGCAATGGGAGAACTGGCAGAAGTGGCGGTCCTCCTGTAGTCACTTTTGCATATCAGACCCCAGCTGCCTGCAGCTCTCCTGAACTCTGGTGCCTCCAGGTCCCTGATGAGACTCTTGGCTTCTGATGAGCCCCCACTGGCCTGCATGGTCACGAGTCTTGTAAGAGCCCCATCTGCCAGGCGTGGACTCCTGTTGTGCCCAGCTGCCTCCCTTTTTTTTTTTTTTAAAGACAGTCTTCCTCTGTTGCCCAGGCTGGAGTGCAGTGGCATGATCTTGGCTCACTGCAACCTCCACCTTCTGAGTTCAAGCGATTCTCCTGCCTCAGCCTCCCAAGTAGCTGGGACTACAGGCGCCTACCACCATGCCTGGCTAATTTTTGTATTTTTAGTAGAGACCATGTTTCACTGTGTTGCCCAGGCTGGTCTCGAACTCCTGACCTCAAGTGACCTGCCTGCCTTGGCCTCCCAAAGTGTTGGGATTGCAGGCTTGAGCCACCATGCCCAGCCTCCAGTTACCTCTTTTTTTAAGAGAATTTGGTTATTTGAAAGATCTTTCTTCTTTTTTATGTAGGCATTTATTTATTGCTATAAACTTCCCTCTTAGAACCACTTTTGCTGCATTCATTGGTTTAGGTATATTGTATGTCCATTTCAGTTTGTCTCATGTTTTTTGTTGTTGTTTCTGTTTTATTTTGTTTCGTTTTTAGAGACAGATCTCCCTCTATCACCCAGGCTGAGTGCAGTTGCATAATCATAGCTCACTGCAGCTTCCAACTCAAGTGTTCCTCCCACCTTAGCCTCCCAAATAACTGGGACTACAGGTGAGCATCACCATGCCTGGCTAATTATTTTTATTATTTGTACAGATGGCGGGGGTCTCACTATGTTGCCCAGGCTGGTCTTGAACTCCTGGCCTCTGGTGATCCTCTTGCCTCAGCCACCAAAGTGCTGGGATTACAGGCATGAGCCACTGCACCTGGCCTCGAGATATTTTTTAATTTCCCTTTTAATTTCTTCTTTGACCCATTGGTTGTGTAGGAGAGTATTGTTTAATTTTCTCACGTGTGAATTTTCCAGAATTCCTCCTATTAGTGATTTCTAGTTTCGTATCACTGTGGTCAGAAAAGAAAGATTGATATAATTGCAATTTTACTTTTATTATTATTTTTTTTTTGAGACGGAGTCTCACTCTGTCACCCAGGCTGGAGTGAAGTGGCACGAACTGGGCTCACTGCAAGCTCCGCCTCCTGGGTTCACACCATTCTCCTGCCTCAGCCTCCCGAGTAGCTGGGACTACAGGCGCCCACCACCACGCCCGGCTAATCTTTTGTATTTTTAGTAGAGATGGGGTTTCACCGTGTTAGCCAGGATGGTCTTGATCTCCTGACCTCGTGATCTGCCTGCCTCGGCCTCCCAAAGTGCTGAGATTACAGGCGTGAGCCACCGCCCCTGGCAATCTTACATTTGTTTAGGCTTGCTTTGTGGTCTAACATGGTCTATCCTGGAGTATGTCCCCTGTGCACTTGTGGAGAATGTGTTCCACTGCTGTCAAATGGAATGTTCTACATAAGTCATTAGTTCCATTTGATCTACAATGTATTTCAAATCCAGTGTTTCCTTACTGATTTTCTGCCTGGATCTGTTCATTGCTTTTTTTTTTTTTTTTGACAGAGTCTCAGTCTGTCACCCAGCCTGGAGTACAGTGATGTTGTTATGGCTCACTGCAGCCTTGAACTCCTGGGCTCCAGCAGTCCTCCCGCCTCAGCCTTTCAAGTAGCTGAGACTACAGATATGCACCACCACACCCCACAAATATTTTTTTTTAAATTTTGTGGAGATGGGGTCTTGCTATGTTGCCCAGGCTGGTGTTTTTTGTTGTTGTTGAAAGTGCAGTACTATTCCTGTATTGCAGTTCAGATCTATTCATATTTCCTTCATATATATTTCCTTTATATATTTAGGTCCTCTGATGTTGGGTGCATATATATATAATTGTTTTATCCTCTTGATGAACTGACCCCTTTTTCATTTTATAATGACCTTCTTCCTCTCGTGTTAGTTTTGACTTAAAAACTATTTTATCTGATACAAGTATAGCTACCCCTGATCTCTTTCGGTTTTCATTTTCAAAGAATATCTTTTTGCCTCCCTTCACTTTCAGTCTGTGTGTGTCTTTAAACCAGCTGCTTCTTGCTTTGGTCCAGATGCATAGTGGTTGCCCAGCAACCGGAGGAGGAGGAGGAGGTGGGGGGGAAGGAGAGGAGGAGGAGGAGGAAAGAAGGGTTTTTCCAGGATGTCTTGTAAGCTCTTGGCCTGATGTTCGACAATTTGGTTAATTCTAGCCCGAACCCTAAGTCCCTGATGTAGCTGACTCTGCTGGCCCCTGGAAAGTCAGTTCTGAGGGGATCCCCACCCCGAGCTAACCAGAGCCCTCTGTCTTCCAGGGGACAGCTGTAGCAGTGGCCTGGGCAGGGGCCGTGGTTCTCCAGAGGGATTCAGACTACTGGTATTACCAAGCACATGACCTTGGCTTTCGTCCTTGTGCTTGTCCTGCCCGTGCAGAATGTGCGGGGGCCGGACAGCTGGGAAGAGTGCCTGATCCTGGCCCTGCTGCCTGGGGCTGGAGGAGGGGTTGCACGGGAAAGAGAGGGTGGCAGGCCTTGGGGAGAGGGTCCCATAGGGTCCTGAGTCCCTCTTTGAATGTGCTGAGCACCACTCACCCTTTCCACATCCGTTTTCTAAGTATCCCTTGTGTTCCAGGCACACGCTGGGCCCCAGGGTGATGGCAGTGAGCAAGACGACATGTTGCAGCTATCAAAGATGATGGTGACTGGCTGGATGTGGTGGCTCATGCCTATAATCCCAACACTTTGGGAGGCCAAGGAAAAAGGATCACTTGAGCCCAGGAGTTTGAAATCAGCCTGGACAACACAGTAAGACCCCCATCTCTACAAAAAAAAAAAATGTTTTTTTTAAATAGCCAGGCAAGGTGGCCTGCATCTGGAATCCCAGTTACTCAGGAGACTGGGGTGGGAGGATTGCTCGATCTCAGGAGTTCAAGGGCTGCCAGTGAGGCTATGATTGCAGCCACTGCACTCTAGCCTGGGCAACAGAGTAAGAACTCATCCTCCAAAAAAAAAAAAAAAAAAAAGATGATGTTGATGTCACTGACAGCTCCATGAATCAATCTATGTGGGACCATTTGTTATTCCATTCAACAAACACTTATTGAGCACTGTCCACTGTGCCCAGCACCAAAGGCTGGGTGCTGGGGACAAGCAGAAAGGAGTCAGTCCCACGTGCTTAGTGCCTAGTACACTGCAGACAAGAGAAGCAGCAAGTAATGAAGCAAGACATTCAGCATGTGAACCTTTTTGCTGGGGGACCAAAGGAAAATAAAATTGATAAATTTGAAAAAATTTGAAAAACAAAATTTTCAGAATGAGGATCACTGCACCAATGCTGTATGATTGGAAGAGACTAGGGATGAGTTGCGACTGCGCGCTTTTTTTTTTTTTTTTTTTGGAGACAGGGTCTTACTCTGTCACCCAGGCTGGAGTGCAGTGGTATGATCTCAGCTCACTGCAACCTCCACCTCCTGGGTGCAAGTGATTCTCCCACTTCAGCCTCCTAAGTATTACAGGCACGTACCACCACGCCCAGCTGGTGGATGCCTTTAAAGAGAGTGGCTTGAGGTAATAAGACCCTTATTAGGTTAAAATTCATTCCCACTTTATAGAGAAAGAACAATCACCTGAGGCCGAGAGAGGTTACATTGCTTGACCAAGTAACTTGACTAAGTTGCTTGTCTCTAAATAAGTAAGTAAATAAAAACAGGTGCCCAGTGATGCGTGGGGAGCTG